TACCACATGAGGTGCGAATGACAATAAAGAAACTCTGACTCTGATGCTGCTGCCAAATCCTGTAACTCTAAGCAGTTATTATGAACTCGAAGAAAAACTTGTGAGGGAAAGTGGGATTAAGCTGCAGGTCACAAAAATTGAGTTAGCTGTTGCTAAAATGCTGGTTTGTTTGGTGTCTCAGTAGTTTGCACAATCCACAGTCGAGGGGGAAAAAGCATATAGACTGCAGAAAAGAGGTGTCATACGCACATTTAGAAGCCAAACAACATAACTAAGGTCCAAAATTTAACAAATACCAAAGGGATTTGCTGAATGACAACAGCACATCAAATAATACTCGAGCGACTGAGAAAAAACAGTAGAAGTAATATACAACCATTTTTAAAACAATTAGAGGTTTTTTTTGTTTATAGTTTTTAAGAAAGCTTAAAATTTCAGGAAAAAACAACTTTTTTTTTCTTTGGTACTTATGCTTTAACTTGCATTAACATTTTTTATATAAACATACAGACGCCCCAATATATCACAAACACAAATGCCCACTCAAAATATCAATATGTTAGTCGATGACACCTCTGATTTGTTTGAGCTTAAACTATATGTATGCTTCAAACCTGCCCTTTCTAGTGTATTCACAGGATCATAATGTGATGATCTTTGACCATGTTTAAATTTCAACATAAACCCAGGATGGCAGGACAACTGTAAATTGAAACAATTTAAAATAAAAGATACAAGATTTGTTTATCTATCGTTTCCTCATTCCTTTCCACACCCCTTTGTGACTTGCAGGGAACATACAACGGCTGACACTTTTTACCACCTAAACTCCAAATGGAATTAAATTTGACAAACAGTAGCCCCTCGCTTATTGCAGGGGATCCGTACACTGAAGCCCCAAGATAAGTGAACAACCGCAAAGTAGGAATACTAGTACAAGTAGTAAGTAGCAGCTTATTTTAGTATATCTATCCATACATCTATATATATCTATCTATCTATATATATTATATATATAAATATAAAACTCTTCCCACACTTTTGTAATATTCTAAACCATGTTTCTAAACTCTAAATGCTCTAAAAGAGACAGAATGTCATGAAGTCAGCTCAGCCAGTGTTCTCGGCCACGCCCACTTCTCAGCTGCAGATCAGAGATCAGCTGCAGGACGAAGCTTCTCCCCAGATGTGGGCTTTACACAGGTGCTAAATAATTTAAAATTATTTATTTTAAATAAAGAATTAGGGATGCACCAATACACATTTTTTTACTTCCGATCCCCAAATCTGGATATTGGCTGATACCTATACCTTTCCGATATCATCATTATTATTGATTTTACATGAGGTTGTAATAATCTCTTCTCTACAGTCAAGTACAATTTGTACAAATCTATTTAAAGTTACAGTTAACTTCTGCTAACACAAAACATGTTTCTTTTAATTCCTAGCTGTAAAGTGGATATTAAAGTGATTAATTTAAGTGATTGTTTAAAGTTATTTTATTTTATTTTATTTTTTTAAATAAGGGGCAGATATTATAAGAATATTTTTCTTCTTCCTGCACTCTTTTCATTCAATGTTTTTTTCTTTTTGGTGGTTTTGTTTATTTTTTCTTTTAAATGAATGAATGAATTAAATAAAAAAATTTAAATAAAAATTAAATGGCTTCAAACTAGGGGTGCACTGATAAATCCGCCGGCTGATTTATCGGCCCCAATTTCCTTAATTTTGGGAAATCGGACGATACTTTCATCAGAAACCGATTTTACCAATTGTTTTTTGTAGTTTTAACAACAATTGTCTGAGCATTTATATTTCAGAGCACTACCTCATGGCCACATAAAACAAGTTTGTATTGTTTCTAGTGTTCAAGGGTATGTTTTTCAACAAAATAATATTAGAAAACTGAAGGTGCATTGTGACCTTATAACATCTGACAGTGTCGCTTGTAAAACAAATCAGGATCGGCAGATCAGACTTTTTAGAAATCTGTGATTGGCCAGAGAACTGCAGTTGGTGCACCCCTAGTTCAAACACCTGCTAAGTTCATGATATAAACCAACAGACATGTTCCTGTTTTTAGTATTTTACATCACTTTATAATGTAGATGTTTTTGTTACGGTTTTTTTTGTATATAATTTTCAAATCATGTGTTTTTTTATGATTGTCTACTGTTGTCCTGATAAATCTCTCCTGGAGGGTAAACTATATCTTGGCTGCAAGTATCAAACTGAGAAATCCTTCATTTTCTACATATGATAGTGGTTGATCATTAATTATGATGAAGTTTAACAACTTCTCTGTAAACATTTGAGCTCCGGGGCTTCAGCGGGGTGCTACTCTTGCTCAACCCGAAGCAGGCGGTCTGATTTCGGTCAGCCCCGCTCAGTCTGCCCCTCCTCCGAGACTGGCAGACTGAGTGGGGCAGATTGGACGCGGCTGGCCGGGGTCGGGCTGCCTGCTTCAGGTTGAGCGACAGGAGTGCACCGCTGAAGCCATGGAGCTCGAATGTCCATCATAAAACTAACTTTACCGCAGTTTAATGTGGAGCTATGGCTCTGCAGACAGTGCACGGTGCTGTCTTGTTTTGTGGTGTTTCTAGTATAAAATACTTCCACACAGCGACATGTTTAGATGAAAAGTTTGTTAGCTGTTAGCCACAGTGCTGCTAACTCAGTCCTCACGTTGTAGCTGCTGCAAACTATGAACTGGATTTCCTGAATGTGAGGCGGGTCTTATTACTCTGGGCTCATGAGACGCCTCCGTTCAGGAAATCCATTCCATAGTTTGAAGCCAACCTGCATCATGGATCTGAAATCTCTACAGGTTGGATCGGAAAAATCAGATACGTAAATTATGCTGGTATCGGAGGCCGATACCGATACTGGATCAGATCGGCCCCATCCCTATAAAGAATCCATGCCGATCATGCGGCTTATCCATCAATCAGCCAATTGTGTGTAATGTCCAATCTTACTTTTAAAATCAACGAAAGAGCAAGTCCGCAAAAAACGAACCGCCAAGTAGTGAGGGACTACTATAGTACCTTCGCATAGTGGGTCAACCAGTTTGATGGTGCTAAGATGGTTCCTGGAGTCCGCCCACTCCCCCTCCGACTCGTTTGAGGCAGCCATGGCCAAAGTGGTTCAAAACATCAAAGTTCATGTTCAGTAATCCAGGTAAAAATCCAACAAAGTTAAGTAACCGGTTATCAATCAAAGTTGATCATGAATGAGGATCTTTTGAACCACTTTGGCCATGACTGCCTCAAACGAGTTGACGGTGGAGAGGGTGGACTCCAGAAACCATCTTAGCACCATCACACTGGTTGACCCACTGTGTGAAGGTGCTATTTACAAGACTGAGTTTGTTGTGGCTCCTCTGACTGATGAAGTCTTTTGGATGAAAGACAAACCGTTTCAACCACAAACCTGCCCAGAGGACCTGACTTAACTTTGTTGGATTTTTCTTCCCGCATTGTTGAGCATGAGTCAGGATAAAAACTATTAACGTTATATTTTTCTAGATCTACACTGCAGAAATACCTGAAGAGGCACGAAGGGAATGATTTGGACAAGGGAGACACGTCGGTTGTAAATCCGTTTGATAAAGGTGAGTTTATTTTGTTTTGTACAGATGAAGTCCCTGATTTTCTGTTCTTACTGTGTGATGTTTGTGTTTCCTGTTGCTCCAGTGGCCCAGGAGTTCAGTTTGTCCCAGGCTGCTCCTGCTGTGTCCAGCTCACCGCAGCCATCCAGCACTGTCCACATCCTGTCCTTGTTACTGCGTCTCCGGCAGTGTTGCTGCCACCTCTCACTTCTTAAAAAGGTGTGCACATGTTTGCTGACTGTTACAAGACTTCGATATTAACATGTCATGTGGACAACTCAAGCGTTTGTTCTTTCTTGCCTGCAGACGCTGGACTCATCGGAGCTGCAGGGTGATGGGCTCGTCTTGTCTCTGGAAGAGCAGCTCAATGCTCTGTCCCTCTCCTCCAATCCCTCACCGTCAGGCCCCAACCCTAAAGATACAGTGGCTCTCAATGGCACCCGCTTCTCCTCACAGCTTTTTGAAGAGAGCAGCAAGAGCACCAAGGTGGTTAACTGTGCTAGATAACACCCTAACAGGACAAAGTCAGGTCCTCTGGACGGTTTCTTTGTGTTGAAACGTGTTGTCTTTCATCCGAAAGTCTTCATCAGTCCAAGGGGCCACAACAAACTCAGTTTTCTAAATACCTTCACATAGTGGCAACAGGACAGTTACATCCTTAGTGCAAAAATATGATTTTTTTGACTAAACTAAACAACAAAAACAGTTAGTTTTAAATTATACAAATGATAACAGTTCCTCAAAATTTGTCATTGTGGTAATGCAGTTCATACAAAAAGGTATTCTGTCACGATTGATAGAATTTAAATGTTGTTTTTACTTTGGAAAGCTATTTTTGTGCTGTTTTGCCTAAAAAAAAAGTAATGCAGTTGCTTTTGCTGCCAAATCTTTAGATTTCTGCGATCACCTCTGAGTTGATAGCAGTCAGAGAAAAGAGTGACAATCAGAAAAGGTAAACCAATTCTTTAATTATATCACATTGAAAAGTATTTTTATCATCATTATTTTATTGTTTTCATAAAATTGTTGATTAGCATTGCTATAAGTTATGGATAATTGAATTATTGTGACAAATATTAAGACACCCGTTCCTTCCTGTGTACAGGTGCATCTAAAAAATTAGAATATTGTGACAAAGTTGTTGGGGTTTTTTTGTCAATCATTTCAGAAAGTGAAAGATTCATTACACATAGCAGTGTTTCCCCTAGATAACTTGCCTTGGTGGGGGCGTTCATCTTGTCCGTGATTTTTGTTGACGGAGGGTGGGGAGGGATAGACGGACGAAGACACGTCCTGAGTTGTGCAGCGCTGTTTATACCGGCAGTTTTCTAGTCGGGGGTTCTTCAGTGTGAGGGTTCAGCATGAGGGAAGAGACTGCCTTTAGCTTTTTAGCTTGCGCACCTGTATTGCGAATCGCTAGCTTAGCGTTACGTCAGTGCCGACAGGTGGTTGGGGTGTGGGGTGCATGCGGTTTTTTAGACGGGGCACTCGGTTCTGTTGACGGGACGGGGCGCCTCACTTGTATAATGGTAGGGGAAGCACTGCATAGGGAAATATTTCAAGCCTTTATTTCTTGAAGATTATTTCTTACTGTAGAGGCCAAGCTAATGCTTTAAGCCACTGAGGTGATACACCGGGGTAGTGTTGACGCACTGATTGTTACCTTGTCAGATGAATTAAAGTCAGAGCCGCCCTTACTCGTTGTGCAGGTCATCCATTTATTCTTTACATCTCCTCAGTGTCCATTTGAAGCCAGTACATATTTCCACAACACTTACACCTGTTGACAGTATTTACAGCATCTAGTTTCTTTAGCGGTCAAAAACTCTTTCCCCTTCTGGGTGGAACACCTGCACTCACAAAGAAAGGTTCCTACTATATAGACCGTTGATTACCCACGTGACCCATTCACAAATATATTCATCACCTGGTCCTACACTTATAAATAATGAAAAAACATAATTCAGTGTCTTAAATGAGAATATTCCACAGTCAGCTTTTGGTACCTTTGTCAGTGTGGGCAGGAGCCAAGTCCTGCTGAAAATGAAATCAGCATCTCCATAAAGCTCGTCAGCAGAAGGAATCATGAAGAGCTCTAAAATGTTCTGGTAGATACGGTGTTGACTGTGGACTTCAGAGAGCCTAGTGGACCAGAATCAGCAGAGGACATTGACCCAAACCATCACTGACTGTGGAAACTTCACTCTGGACTTGAACAACATGGATTCCGGACTTCTCCACTCTTCCTCCAGACTCTAGGACCTTGATTTATAAATGACATGCAGAATTTACTTTCATGTGAAAATGAGATATTCGACCACTGACAGACAGTCAAGTTCTTTTCTCCTCAGCACGTAAGACTCTTCTGATATTGTCTCTGGTTCAGGAGTGGCAGAACTTGAGGAATGAGACATTTGTAGCTCATGTCTAGGAGTTATCAGCTGATTAGGGTCTGACACCAGGAGTTCACATCTTCATAATCTTAATTTTCTGAGACACCAAACTTTTGTTTTTCATTATTTGTAAGCCATAAGCATAAAAATTACAATTAAAAATGGCTTGAAATAGTTCACTCATGTCTAATGCCACCCATCCATCCATCTTCCACTTATTCCGAAGTTGGGTCACGGGGGCAGCAGCTTAAGCAGGGAGACCCAGACATCTCTTTTCACAGCCACCTCTTCCAACACTTCTGGGTAGACTCCAAGGCGTTCCAAGGTCAACTGAGAGATATAGTCTCTCCAGCGTATCCTGGGTCTTCTCCCAGTCGGACATGCCCGAAGCACCTCCCTAGGGAGGCACCCAGGGAACGTCCCTACCAGATGCCTGAACTACATCAACTGGCTCCTCTCGATGTGGAGGAGCAGCGGTTCTACTCCAAGTCTCGCCTGGGTAACTGAACTTCTCACCCTACCTCTAAGGGAGAGTCCAGCTACCCTGCTGAGGAAACTCATTTCAGTCGCCTGTATCCGCGATCTCATTCTTTCGGTCACTACCCAGAGCTTGTGACCATAGGTGAGGGTAGGAATGTAGACCATCCGGTAAACAGAGACCTTTGCCTTACAGCTCAGCTCTCTGTTCACCACAACGGACCAGTACAGAGTCTGCAATACTGTGGACACTGCACCAATCCGTCTGTCAATCTCACACTCTAATCTTCCCTCGCTCGTGAACAAAACTTCAGATATCCTGATGCATGCTCAATAATCTTCAGATACTTAAATTCCTCCACTTGAAGCAGGACCTCACCCTCGACCTCAAAAGAGCAACCGTCAGAAAAGTGTGGATTGCCATGGGGACAGGACATCCTTGTAAAAGAGATTGATGATCTCAATAGATTTCTTCCTGGTAAAATAAAGGAATAAAAGAAAAATTTGGAGGTGCTGATTCTCATCCTTGCCGCTTCACAATCAGCTGCAAACTGCTCCAGTGAGAGCTGAAGATCATGGCACAATGAGGCCACCAGGACCGCATCATCTGCAAATAGCAGAGATGGAATCCTGAGGCCACCGAACCGGAAACCCTCCGCCAGCTGGCTGCACTGAGAAATTCTGTCCATAAAAGTTCCAAACAGAAACAGTGACAACAGGCAGCCCTGGCAAAGTTCAACTCCCACCTTGAAGGGGCCCAACTTACTACTGGCAATGCGAACCAAACTCTTGCACCACTTGTATAGGAACTGAACAGTCCATAACAATGAGCCCCCATTCCCGTACTCACAGAGCACCCCCCACAGTGTATCCTGAGTAACACGGTTGAATGCCTTCTCCAAGTCCACAAAACACATGTAGATTGGATGGGCAAATGCCCATGAACCCTCGAGGACCCTATTGATGGTCAAGAGCTGATCCAGTGTTCCGTGGCCAGGACAGAACCCACATTGTTCCTCCTGGATCTGAGGTTTGACCAACAATTGGACTCGCTTCTCTAGTACCCCTGAATAGACCTTACCAGGGAGGCTAAGGAGAGTGATACCCCTTTAATTGGAGCACACTCTCCAGTCTCCCTTTCTGAAGAGGGGAACCACCACCCCAGTCTGCAAATACAGTGGCACTACCCCTGATGTCCATGCAACGTTGCAAAGCTGTGTCCACCAAGACAGCCCCACAACATCCAGAGCCTTAAGGAAATCTGGATGAATCTCATCCACTCCCGGAGCCCTGCTGCCACAGAGCTTTGTAACTACCTCGGCGACCTCAGCCACGGTTATGGACAGACCAACCCCAAAGTCCTCCGACTCCTTCGTGGAAGATGTAATGGTGGGATTGAGAAGGTCAGAGAAGTATTCCTTCCACCTTCTGATGACATCACTGGTTGAGATCAACAGCACCCCACCTTCACTGATCATAGCGTTAGTAAAGTGCTGATTCCCCTCCTCAACCACCTGATCGTTTGCCAGAATCTCCTCGGAGCCGACCGAGAGTCTTTATTCAAGGCTTCACCGAACTCCTCCCACATCCGAGCTTTTGCCTCTGCATATGGTCCTCCAGTACTCCTCAGCTGCCTCCAGAGTCCCACCAGCCAACAAGGCCCGATAGGACTCCTTCTTCAGCCTGACAGCCTCCCTAACCCAGGGTGTCCATCACAGAGTTTGTGGATAGCCACCGCGAGATGCAACAACAACCTTGCAGCCACAGCTCAAGGCAGCCACTTCAACAATTGAGGTGCAGAACATGGCACCACTTGGACTCAATGTCCCCCGCCTCAGCTGGGATGCAGTTAAAGCTCTCCCGGAGGTGTGAGTTAAGGACATCTCTGATCGGTTCTTCTGCCAGGCATTCCCAGCAAACCCTCATTACACATTTGGTTCTGTCCGTCATCTTCCCCAGCCATCTGATCCAACTCACTACCAGGTGGTGATCAATTGACAGCTCAGCTCCTCTCTTCACCCGAGTGTCCAAAACAAATGGCTGCAAATGAGATGACAAGACTATGAAGTCAATCATCGATCTATGACCTAGGGTGTCCTGGTGCCAATTGCACTTACGGACACCCTTATGTTTGAACATGGTGTATTTGATGGACAAACTATGACTAGCACAGAAGTCCAACTACAGAACACCACTCAGATTCAGATTAGAGAGGTCATTTCTCCAAATAACATCCCTCCAGGTCACACTGTCATTACTTACAGTATGTGGGCATTGAAGTCCCCCAACAGAATAAAGGGAGTCCCCAGCTAGTGCACCTTCCAGCACCCCTGCCAAGGACGCCAAGAAGGCAAAATACTCTGAACTGCCATTTGGCGCATAGACACAAACAACAGTCAGAGCCCATCCCTCCACCTGAATGCACAGAGAAGCCACCCTCTCATCTACTGGGGAAAATTCCAACGCACAGGCACCAAGTCAGGGGGCTAAGAGTAGACCCACACCAGCTCGGTGCCTCTCACCATGGGTAACTCCAGAGTGGAATAAGGTCCAGCCCCTCTCAAGGAGATTGGTTTCAGAGCCCATGCTTTGAATCAAAATGAGCCCAACTATATCTAGTTGGTACCTCTCAATCTCGCACACAGTCTCAGGCTTCTTCCCCACCAGAGAGGTTATGTTCCATGTCCCAAGAGCCAGTTCTGATAAGCCAGGGTCAGAGCACCAAGGTCCCTGCCTTTGGTCACTGCCCATGGCATTATGCACCTGACTTTTATGGCCCCTCCTGCAGGCGGTGTGTCCACAGGAAGGCAAAACCCATGCTGCTCCCTCGGGCTGAGCCCAACCAGGCCCCATGGGTAGGAACCTGGTCACTAGGCGCTCACCGATGAGACCCTCCCACAGGCCTGGCTCCAGGGTGTGGCCCTGGTAACCTATGTCCAGGCAAGGGACACTGAGTTCTTTGATATGTGTTGTCTATCAAAAGTCTTACTAATCACTCTTTGTCTGGCCTGTCACCTAGGACCAATCTGCCTTGGGAGACCCTACCAGGGGCATTTATAATTTCCCCCCA